GAAAAAGTGTTAACTACCCAGTTTAACACATGTGTTTTTATATTAATCAAACAAAAGAAATAGTTCTGCACTTGCTTCTGTTTGATTTGCTCTTTTTCTTACATTATTAGAAGTTATACTGTCATTAATCATGTCAAAATATTGAATTTGTTGTCTATTCAACTCTGTAATGAAAGAGTTTTAATTTATATTTATATTATTGTATTTTCTAATATTATGTTTCTATATTTATATTGTCATAACATAATATTTATATTGCTAATATAATATTTATATTGTCATATTTTGTGTATGTGAAATTAACTTGGAAAATGTAGAAAACATATTTAAATATATATTAAAATTATAACTGTCTCTTAAAATTTCAAATACCATGTCTTTTTCTATTTTATGAATCAAACAGCAAGTTTAGTGCTAATTATTTATAACTAGCTGTACAAACCTGTAAAATAGGTTATGATAAGTCTGTTCCATACCAATCATTTATTTTTTATATGGTCTTTTTATTTCAATAATTTTTGAAATCAATCATTGGTTTCAAAAATAAATAATAAATAGTATGATGAAATATTAAAAAATATATCTTTTTAACAAATTAACAAAAATTTACAAATCAAAGATAACGTAACAATTAATTTTATTTTCTATATTGCATAAATATTTCATATGATAAATCTAAAACAAAAAAAGAAACATAACATCATAACATTAATACAAAAGTTTGACCTTAGCATAAGACATTACTAAGTACACATAACTTTATACTAATTATTAATAGACACTATTATGTGTTTTCCAACACATAATAGTGTTGGAAAACACATAATAGTGTTTAGTCAAACAAAAAGGTTTGACAACACAACCAAGCTCTAAAGCAGTAACTTACAGTCAAAAAATTAACATGTGACATGTTTTTTTTTTAGATTCACATTAACTCAATCAAATGTTTACTCTTGACTTTCAGTAATTGACAATGAATAAGTCAATCAGACAGGAAACTGATACCATTTTAGAACAAAAGGTAAAATAGAATCTGATAGAGCCAAGTGAATTCGAGGAACAATACTCATTCACCACCAGAAATACTTGAAAAAACTTCTATATCAATATAATTTCTTTGAAGAGCATAAACTTTCATTTAAGTGCCATTGCATAACTCAGCTTTTGTAGTAGTGGAACAATACCTGACTGGTTTTTAATAACCAATGGGAATATTGTTCTTCCCCATTCTGTGTCTTATATTTTCAGGTAATACAAACTTTTGCACCTGTTGCAACAGTAAAGAACATTGTGCTATCATCCAATATTGGAACAGGTAGTTTCAATAAGCCATCCAATGTAGTTGTAAAATTATCTTATATGCATTATGCTAATGTGGGATTTATTACCCTAAATTATATTCCAGATTTGTTAATAACTTTTCAAATCATAGTAAGATACTTAGCTTTAAGTTTTCGTGAAAGAAAAAAAAAAAAAATTAAAATTAAATCTCTAATTATAAACTAAAAATTAAACTTATATAACAAATTTCATTTTTTTATGACTTTTGTCTAAAACATAAAATTCGTTTTAGACAAAACGAATTGTATGTTTTAGACAAAAGTCATATAAAACCTAAAACTTCCATTCTTCTTATAAAAATATTTATGAAATTTAAACTTACTTTCAGTTTCTATATTGTCATCATCAACTAAATAGAAATTAATCAAATAAATGATAATCCCAAACTTTCCTTGTACTTAAATTCAATTAAAATATATCTTTAAAGGTTGTATTTTACATACATGCGTACTAAGGTAACTCTTGTTCAACTTTAAATTTTATATTTCTAAATCAAGTTTTTAGAAAGAAAATTCTTTAAAAAAAAGTTCTAATTTGTACAAACTCTTTTATTCTGTTTGTTAAGACAACCCCTTGCTACTTTTGAATATGCAATATGCGGTTTGTGTTTTTTACATAGCTTATATATATAAAATACAACTATTCTAACTTGAGGTATATCAAATTTGAGTTGAAATACAATTGGATTGACTTTAATAAAATATTGAAACTGCAAATTCTAGACAAAGTTAAATTAAAATGGAACTCAATTTAAAATAATTCAGCCACTAAAAAAAAAATGGAGATGCCTAATAATGAAACTGATGCAAGAGAAAATATAAGCAAATTAAAGATAGGTACAAACCTTCATCATTATAGATGTTTTCACTGTTATTTTTACTATCATTAATTGTTTCCATCTTTAATTATAAAAAAAATCAGTAACAATCAATAACTAACTAAAAATAGTAAAATATTAATTAATTAAAAATATAAAGCAAAAACTCTTTTAGAAGTCATATAACTAACAGAAATGCTAATAAAGCAATCAAAAAAGCAAAAACAGCCAAATTAAACTGATTAAACAAAAAAATAATTACCGCATAAAAGTGTGCGCTTTGTTATTATTTTTTGCGCTTTGTTATTATTTTTTAGTTTATTTAAAATTAGTAACTTTTTAAAGCTGTTTTTTTATATATAACTATTATTATTAGTTATGTTATTTTTTTAATTACGTCATGTTTTTCTTTAAGTTGTCACATGAAGACAAAATTGCTTATACCGTGTTTTAAAAACAAGCTCTATATATATAGTAGTATCATATAAAATTCTGAAACTTATTTGCTTCATTAAAAAATTAAACTTGCTCTAAAATCTATATCTTAGCTGTTTTAAATTTTGTAAAAGCTTTTAAAAAGTTCAGAAAGTTTTTAAAAAATTAAAAGAAAAGCTAAAAAAAGCATAGATAAACAACAAAGCAAAAAAAGTTAAATAAATATAAACCAAATTGTAAAAAATTTAAAACAATAGTATAAATGTTTTACAAAAAGAAGCATTACTCACACCACTGGTTGAAAGTTGAAAGACTCATTTCATGGTCTTTCTCAAACAACACATATAGTTCATTAAAAGGTCTATTATACAGAAAACAGAAAAATGACATTTGATATCTATTGTTATGAAACACGAAGGACAACATGTGGCACACAGTTTAGAAAATAAGAAGTTTTTAGACATTTTACAAAATTGTAACTAAAATGGTAGATAATTTATTATAATTATAAATCATCTTATTCAGAAAAAGATTCTACTATACAATCAAAAATTATTTGCAAAAAGATTTTTAATAATATAGTTTAGAGGGAAAGAATAAGCATCATCATAACTATTTCATTTTATCCTATAAATGGATGGTGTTTACATCACTTTAGCCTTTACACCATCTATATCCTGTTTTACTCTATTAGGATATGGATGGTGTTAAGGCTAAGTGGACTAACCTCAATTTTCAAACTTGTTCAGGAGATTTTTTTTTAATTAATTATAAATTATATTTAATGAAAAAAATTAAAAAATAAATAGTTTTTAACAATAATTTATGTTTTTAATGGGTTAGTCCACTTTGTTATAAAAAAGCATAGTTTTATTAATGCAGAAACACAATAATAATAAAAACTGAAAATTGAAGGGTTAGTCCATTTGGCCTTTACACCATCCATGTCCTGTCTTACTCTATTAAAAATTATTTGTTATTATAGATTAAATATCCTGACATTGCCAAGAATAGATTTTCTATAAAGTGAAGCAGCTTTTATGAAAATTAGTATTTAATACATCAATTCAAAAAAAAAATTGAAGAAATTAATATATATATATGTATATACAGGCTTGGTCGCGAAGCGGGTGCGATCGCACTCGATAATTGACCACGGAAATTATATTTACTTGCGAAAAGCCGGCCAGATTTTTCAGGCGTTTTGAGAACATTTCAGTTTATGTATGTTTACTTGTTTGTCCGCAAATTAATAAGTTCATTTTATTGTAAATTTTAAAAGATTTTGTTTTACGGACGTACATGGAAACTTATTTAAACTTGAATGTTGTCAAACATCTTAGTGCGGAAAAATAAATAAAGAATATTGGCGAACACAAAAAACCCGCCAAATTTACGAACAACTAATTCTATTGGTTCAATTAATAAATAACTGAAATTACTAAAGAATTCAAGCGACTGTTCTAGAGTATTCTGTTGAGTTATTTTTCAAAATCTTTTTTGTTTTGTTTTTGTTTTTGTTATGTTTTCGTTGAGAATTCTAGCATCAATTGTATTAAATCAATCTTGTTGGACTTTACCGGGCCGGGGGCTGCATTATTTTGATGGCCTTTTTTATGTGCAACAGCGTAAAAATGACTTAAAAATACCGATAGGTCCTCTTGACTATTTCTCGGCCCATAACATTGTGTGTCCCAGGACTATAACTCTTTTACCCCCCCCCCCCCCCCACCTCTTATTTCCAGCACTGGAAATAAGACATAAGTATATAAATAAAAATTATATATAATCTTTGATAAATTGAAGAACATTTGTTTCTTTATTAAACAATCATTATTAGTACGTTGTTACTATATACAAAAAATGTCGCTTTATTTTTGAAAAAAAAATTATAAAAGAGCGACGTTTCAAAAATATTTGCTCTACTCGTATTTATTTTGCTTAAAGTTTTGCGTTAAAAGCTATTTTTCTTTTTTTTAACTGTCTCTCATCAGTCCAGTTTATCTTATTGCGCTTTTTTGCTTGTTTTTGAAATGTTCTCAAAACGCCTAAAAAATCTGGCTGGCTTTTTGCAACTAAATATAATTTCTGTGGTCAAATATCGAGTGCGATCGCACCCGCTTCCCGACCAAGCCTGTATATATATATATATATATATATATATATATATATATATATATATATATATATATATATATATATATATATATATATATATATATATATAAATATATATATATATATTATATATATATATATATATATATATATATATATATATATATATATATATATATATATATATATATATATATATATATATATATATATATATATATATATATATATATATATATATATATATATATATATATATATATATTGAATTTATAATTTCATTTTTTAGATATCAATGAATGTTCAGTTAACAAGGCTTGTGATTGGCCTTATGGTGTTTGTAACAACACCTTAGGTAGTTTTAGTTGCTCATGCAGTGATGGTTGGTTTTTAAGTCCAACTAATGACAGCTGTACCGGTAACCTAACTTTTTATTAACTTATTATAATTTAAAAACAATTGCAAAGTTTAAGATTTATTTTCACTTTTATGTTTTCATTCTCCCTCTCTTCAAGTTTCTACAATAGTGTCAAAATTGATATTATTTAACTTAAAACACCATTTAAACATATGTCATTAATAACCTTCAGGCTTGATTCTAATGACAAGTGTCACTTATGGAGATATTTATAACATTCTGAAAAGTGAAACTTTTTAGTCTATGTGTAATAAGGTTAATTAGATATTTCATGACCAAGAATAATAACATTGGTACTAAAGGTGATAGCCCTTTTAGCCTTATAAGAAGCTGCACAGTCAAAAATTGGCCAATCAGTCAAAAATTAAAAATTAATTGGTTATTAATTAAAAATTAGATTGTGCTTTAACAGCTTTAAATAAATTTTGGCAAGATTTAAGTAAAAAAACAACTCCTTTAAGTTTTTTTTTTGCATTTTATACAAACATGACAAGGATGCAAGGATTTGCGTTTAAAATAAACATGACAGGGATGGAAACGCGAGAATTAGTTTTGATTGGTGGAACTAGAGATGAAAGCTTTTTTGAACAGTAACCATTATAGTATTTATAAAAAAGAGAAAGAGATGCAACCTTACGATGATAGGAGAGTGGCTCAAACTTGGGAGATTAGAATAGGTCTAACTACATTTAAAATGTGTTGTGTACAATAGTTATTTACAATGTGTTTTTTTCGCCTTGTCTAGAAGAGAAAGTGCATAATTAGAAAAATCATCTCTAATGCATCAGTAGTATTCCATACAGAAAGGGATAAGAGATTTGTTGAGGTAGACAATGGAATCAGGAGTAAAATAATGATGCGCAAGATAAATAAAGCAAACTTTGGTTACTTCGAAATGCTAACTTTGCATTTAATTGTATATATGGTTTCCATGAGAGGTTGGTAATGAAAGATAATCCAAGAATAGGTGAACTAAGTTTTTTTTAAGTCACTGCAAGCCCAAAGCTGTTACAATAGAGAGAACAGATTTAAGATCAGTATAGTTTAAAAGCCCAAAGCTGTTACAGAAGAGAGAGCAGATTTAAGATCAGTATTAGTCAAGATCAGTCTGTCTATTATAAGCAATTGAAAAGAAAAGACTTTTTGTCAAGAGAGGAATATAAAGTTGAGTCGCCAGCAAATAGAGCCACTTTAAATGTAAGATTGTCAGGAAGATCAAAATTGTATATTTTTGATCTTCCTGATATATCCCAAAAGGTACTAGAAATAGTGTTGGCCTTTAACGATGTCTTTAATAAAACAGTAAGAAAAAAATAAATTGATCAAAAACTTTCCTAGATATGTCATATGAAGCAAGGTTATGGAGAAGACCAACATAACAAGTTTTATTAAAAGCTTTAGATATATCAAGTTGGAGGCGTCAGAACGTTCACATGTGTTTTGAAAAATTGAAGCTAAAAATGCAATTTTTCAGCAGCCAGGAAAACAAGGTTCAGTCAAGCGCTTATTTAATAAATAGAGAGAATTGAAGAGAGCTTTGGAAAACACTTTTACAAGGCATTCACAGGAATGTTTTCTAAACCATAAGCGGTAGAAGCCGTAGTGATTTGGATCTCTAACAATGAGTTAACCTGTTTAACTGGAATGGGAGGGAGAGTATAGATATTGGATTCAAAAGTTGAGTTAAAAGAAAAGTTGTTTGCAAATAGCTCAGCCTTATTCTTGGGAGAGGTTATAAGATCAGACCCATGAGTTAGAAATAGAATGTTAGACTTACCTTTGTTAAATTTGTTGAAGATTTTTCTCTAGAACCTAACTTCTGAGATAGGAAACGAGGTTTTGTTTTTAATATTTTTTGTTAATTTGGTTTAAATGGAAGAGTTAAAAAAATTTAAACTTTTAATTGATTTTGAAACTGTAAAGACTTGTAATAAAGGTATATCCTCAGTGAAAAAAATGTATGATCTTGTAATTTATTAATAATAGATTAATAAATAATTAGTTTATTAAATAAATAAATGATTGTTATTAGTTTAAAACTAAACTAATTGATTCTAATAAAATCTATTTGATGAAATGTTCCATTAATGAAATGATGTCATTTCATCAGTATGGAGGCAGTTTAGTGGTAGTGTTCTGCAAGGCTCAGTTAAGTCCAGTACTTTTTATAGTTTTTATCAATAATTTACCGGAACACAACAGCAAAAACATTTGAAAAATGTATGCAGGTGACACCAAAGTCCTCAGTTTAATTACATTTTTCAAAAAGCGTACTTTATCTGCATGTTTGTTTTGATAACAATGCCAATTAGACTCATTTATAGCTAATGCAGTGTAAAAGTTGAAGCTTTTGCACAACAATTTTCAAATTACTCCTCAAATCTATTTCATTGTTGCACACAAACTTAATTTAGTCATAAGAAACTAGCTAAAATCAACAACATTGAAAAAAGGTGTTCAACTTACTGATGACCTAAGGTTTTAGAATTAATAATTCAAAATCACTGCTGAGGCAAACAAAATTAAAGGTATTTTAATTTTTCTATAATAGTTTTGTAAGTCCACATTTAGAATATTCTATCTTTGCATGGTGCCTTTACCTAAAACAGTTCTTAATGCAATTGAATTTATACAAGATTGTGTCAAAAAGTACCTCAAGAATTGAAGCTCTTTGAATAACTAGACAAGATGTGCTGAACTTAGCCTAACTTCACATAGTGACAAGTAAACAGCACAGTTGGATTTTACTTTTTTTGGGTTGCTGGTTGAAAAATCTCGTTCTTATTTTTGTCAGGGCTTTTGCTGCATCTATATGAGCTAGGTTTTACATCTGCTTTTAGTAGCTTATATTGTAATTAAATGTAAACAAGTATATACCGTGAACTAAGTTTGATTGCAGGGACATAAATTATTGTCTCTGCAATCAAACTTGAATAATTTAAATAGAATAATGATCTCTTGGAAAAAACAGAAACAGTTTGACTTGGTTAAAACTTTACAAGATCAAAACTTGTTGACCTTGTTCAAACAAAATTGACATTTTCTTTTCTTTCTATATTTTTCTAGATCTTGTACATAAAAAAACATAATAAGTACCGCTTTATTTTTTATTTATTTTTATTTTATTTATTATAGCCTGTTGTATGCTGTATGTAAATTTTTTTTTTAACTTGCTTTATATCTTAAAAATTGAGTATTGATATTACTTTTTTTTGCAGGTCCATCACCTTCTGATGTAAGTTCAAAGTCATTTACAATCAGTATACCAACATTTACAACAAGTGAACTAATAGCGTATGCATTTTATATTCTTACTTTCTTGATTTATTTATAATATATAATGATCCTAGTGTAGTGTATATAAATACTCACTAACACAGTGTGAGGCATATATACAGCCATAAGCACAGAGGAGTGCATATCTATAGGATTTTTGGAAAAAATGTGTAAAATATTAATTTAACTGAGAACAATCAATATTTCTTTGGTAATATTTTTAATTTTCATATACATATTTCATATGCATACTTTATAATGCTGAACTTTTAATTCGCTTCCCCAAAGCCATGAAGCCCACTACAGTCAAGGAGGTTACTTTAGATGTGGCTACAACCCTCTCTCAACTCTATTACTCCAAAACATGAACCTTGACAAACTAGACCGCTGTGCCTCAAAAAGACTGAGCATGGTACTACCAGGGACGTGGTGGAGTTCTTAAGCCAACTTAATATAAAATAAGGTGTCTTGAAGTATAGTAAAGATATTAAGGAGATATTAGGCCAACTTCATTTAAATTAAGGTTTAGATTCTTAAGTAAAGTTTATTTTGAAGTTTAGGCTGTCCCTTTTTCAAAAATCATATTGATTGTCAGAGCTTATAATAGAGAGAAGACTTACTTAGAAGTCTGACAGACAATAGATGGAGAGTCAGAATGTTCTCTAGATCTTTTAAAAGTTGAAACTACAGATGCCATTTTCCAGAAAACAAGGTTCTATCAAGCACTTATTAAATAGTTCAGAGAGAATTAATTAGAATTCTGGAGAACAGTTATTGACATTTCGCAGACAAAATTCTTGTCATAATCTCAAAGTTATTTCTCAATTAAGCAAAGAATAATTTAATAGAAAAATAATTCAAACAATATAAGTCAGAGTAATTTGGATGTCTAACCATTGGTTTACCTGTTTAACTTAAATCGCAGGACGAGTATAGCAAGAGTCAAATTAAATGAAAAGTTATTTGCAAATGTCTTAAAAATGTCAAAATTGTCTTGAAAGTAGTAATTAGATCAGACCCATGAATTTGAGATCATAAATATTAGAGGTAGTAATTAGATCTGACTCATAAACTAGAGATAGGGTGTTCAACTTACTTTATGTTAGTGACACTTTTGATGACTTTCCAAACATTTCTAGAATCTCATTTACACTTTTGTGGTACAAAAGTCTAAATTATACTTTTGTAGTACAAGATATGATACAGAGTTATTGTGTTCCAGTGTTGCACTCAAATGTTATCTATTACATGAAAGTAAAATTAAATCTTATTTTTGCTTAATTTCAGATGATTAGAACCATGTTAAGTTTATCAATGAAGTTAAACATAAAACCATTATTCATATAAAAATAATCTTTGCTCAATACTATAAAAACAAGAAATATTTTTACAATTTATGTCACCATGTTGAGTGTTTTGCTGACATGTTTTACATATTTTTAAATCAGGTGTTTTTATTCATTTTTGCATTAAAAATATTGAAATGTTAAATCCCTATTGTTTTTTCTAGATCAGTATCCCCAGTGTGGCTAATGTTGCCAAGTCTTCTTTGCCATAATTAAACAAATCAGCCATGTTTTTTGAAAAATTATGAGGACTGAAAACAGATGAAATTTTATTCAAATTTTCCTTTTTGAATATTCTAACCTTTTAATGAAGCATTCTAAATTAAAGTTATGAAATTTTATTTCTTTCATACACAAACAAATTGATGTAGTTATGCTTCAGTTGCATCAATTGATGTAGTTATGCATCAGTTGTATCAATTGATGCAGTTATGCATCAGTTGCATCAATTGATGCAGTTATGCATCAGTTGCATCAATTGATGCAGTTAGGCATCAGTTGTATCAATTGATGCAGTTATGCATCAGTTGTATCGATTGATACAGTTATGCATCAGTTATGTACAAATGTCTCAGGAATGATACTAGATTTTATATATTTGTAATTTTCTAGTATATAATTTTTTCTTACTGTTAACAGCTGCATTCAAATTTAACTCTGCTTATATATTACATGTAAGAAAAATTATTTAGGAACGTCACTCAAATATTTCTTTGGAACACAGCAGATCTTATATAAAAAAAAAATTAGAACAATGGAATTGTGGAAAAAATCATTTAACAACATTAGAATTAGTTAACAAATTTTTTCATACTTAACTAAAGTTAAAACTAATACTTTAGCTTATACGTTGTTTTATTAAAGCATGTGTATCACAGTGTGGTCACAGTTTCTGAGAAATCCTCTTAAGTCCTCTTTTTTTTTTAAATATCTAAAGTGGTTTTTTCAACTGGCTGGAAAGCAGTCTTTGTTTTTTCTGGCTTTTGTAATTTCAAAATTGTATTTGCCTCCATATAATTGTTATGATGCCATTTATAATACATACATTTGCTTTAAGTATGTATGTTTAATGTGTGTTAAATATATTTTTCATCAAAGTCTTTCTATTTGAAATACATAAAATATTAAAAAATATTATTTAGATTATTTTGGATTATTATTCGAAGTCAAGATAATCTCTCTCTGCCCAAAAAAGCCCCAAACCAATATACTGATAAAGAAATTAATGAAAATGTTGATGGTTGGTTTCGACTTGGTCCAATTAGTAACAATTCTAAATCGTTTACTGTTCGTTCTTCAAAATCAAATCGAAAAAGGAGAAGTACAGGTTTGTTCAATATATTTTTTTCCATTCTTTTAATTAGTAATTCTCTTAATAATTGTTTTAATTAGTATTTTTTTATATGTAATAATTTGGCATCATATTTTATGTAATAATATTTAGTTATTTGAACAATAGTATTTATAATAATATTTAGTAGTAATGTTTAATGATTCAAATATAAATTAGAAATATTTTTTCTACATTTAACAATATAAATAATAACATTTAGTAATAATCTTTCACCATATTAATTATAATTTTAGTGATAATTTTTTTACATTCTTAGGCCTTTCATTGTTAAGCATACTTTTTATTTTGTAATCAATTTTTTGTTATATAAGTTTTTTGTTTAGTGATATATTTGTTGTATATTATTTGTTCATTTGAGTGTTTATGGAAAAAAAAAATTTTTTTAATTATTATTATTAAGTACTGTTTTAGGTGCATTGTCTGTTTTATTTATTTTTAAATATTCCTCTATTAATCATTATTTTTGTCTAGACAACTGTCAAAATATGCTTTGTTCAAAAAATAATTCTCCTTTATTCTAATGTGCTTCATTTTTTCCCTCAGGCATTCACTGCTCGTGTGTGACCATTCGGCGAACTTTATATGACAAAGTTTTTAAATATTATATATTCATCTATATATATATTTATAAATAGTGGTATTTTATTTGTTAAATTTTTGCATTTCCTAATTGTTACGACAGTACATACATACATATATTCATACATACATACATACATACATACATACAATACATACATACATACATACATACATACATACATACATACATACATACATACATACATACATACATACATACATACATACATACATACATACATACATACATACATACATACATACATACATACATACATGTACATGTATATGTACATGTATATATATACAGTATGTGGTAAAGATTTGTACAAAATATGACAACCTGAAGATGAATAAAAGCTTTTCATGTATTGGCATTATATACAAGCATGGTCCTTAAAAAAAATACTTTTTTTATAACTAATAAAAAAAACATTAAGAGGTTTATTTTTGCAGTTAATGTGGAATAGGAAATTCCTATGATGCAAACTTAGTAGATGCTAATTTTGCAATCGATTTGATATAAGGTTGGCAAAATAGATCGGAAGTAAGAGTTACTCCTAGAAGATGAAGGGTAGATGACTCATCAAGTACATTACTGTTCATAAATATATAAGAAGATCTAAATTATTACGATAACTATTAGATTTACTGCAACATATTACTGGATTTTTCTGGATGCAGTTACATTTTATTTTTATGTTTTTGTTATGTAAATATGTCTTTGCACTTAGTCTGTATTATTTGCCTTTAACACCACTTTTATTAATCTTTATTTTTCTTTGGATCCAGTTTCTAATTTTGCTATATTTAAAAACTATATTTTCTTCATCCTAAAACATATTAATCTTTTATTTGGCATTCAATTCTTGTGTGTAACTATTTGGTATATTTATATGCCAAGTTTTAAAATAATGTTCTAATTTTTTAGTTACTTGTAAGTTTTATTTCTACATACTTAATATTTTTTTGTTTGTATAATTTTAAGCAAAATATTTTCTTGAGTATTATGTAACAATTTATACATTGCAAATAGGTTGTTCACAAATTTAAATATCACAAAGTTAAGTTTGAATTTTTACTTTTAATTTTTGTTTAATTTAACATTAGTATTGAAAATTCAAAAAATTAACATTTATATAACTTTATTTTTATTTTTTTATTACAATTATTTTAAATATTATCAAGATTTATCTTAAAAATAAAAGTTACTAAAGTAGTAAAAAGTAGTACTAAAGTCTCACCATTTTAAGTTTTTATACAACATTCCTACATTGTTTTTTATTTTGTGCAAATTTGTGTTTGTTTATGTATTTACAGCTGTTACAATGAATTTAATATTTGTCTGAGTTTTAAAGCTTTTTTTAAATAAAAAACAATTCAGTCTACTTTGTTAAATTTTTGTGGTTTTGAAAAAAGAAATAAAGTTAATAAGTTTCTTCAAATTTCCAAGTTAAATATTTATATATGTATCTTTATATTTATGTGTATATATGTTTTTTTTTAACTAGATGGTTTTGTTTTCACTGAGGGACAAGTTTATGTTACATTTGTACAAGCGTTAACAGCAAGTAATAAAGTCTTGAGTTCACCATACTATCCGCCTGTAATAACAGCAGACCCTGGTTGTATGTTTTTCATTTTGTATTTACATTTTTTTTTTTTTTGTTTTTGTTTTTTTCTAAGTTTATTTTTATTAGCTTTTTAATTTTACTGTACTCTTAATGGAGAAACAAGTTAAACATAGTGAAACCAGGTAAGTGGTAATATTTTAATGAGTTTTCACACAGAAGAGGAGTGCTCAATAATGTTAATAACAGTTTTATTAATAATAGTATCACAATAAAACATAGTATTTATATATTATTATGTGTATTTTTATTTAATTTTGAGGTACAAGTTTTTATATTTTATTTAGCTCCATGTACTGATCTATCTTGTTTTGCATACAAACATCAAATTTGCAGTATGGTCAACTTAACTTTTGCAAAATGCTATTGTAAGAATGGTTATATCAGTTTTGACAACCTTTTAACATGCCAAGGTTAACTATGAATATTTAATTTACTTTATAAGATAGTTTCTTTTAACTTTTTTGTTTTATTTGTTTCATGAAAACTTGATTTTAACTAGTAAATACATTTATATAGTGAAAATAACTAAAATTTTCTAATAACCTAGATATTGATGAATGTTTATCTGAAAACAGTTGTAATTTCAAGAACAGTCAATGCAACAATAACCCTGGTTTTTACACCTGCTCATGTGTTAATGGATATGATTTAAGTAACGACGAAAAAAGTTGTATAGGTTTGTTTACAAAAACTTTATGTCATCAGTTTGAATTTAAAAAGTTAAAATTAAAATTACAATTTAAATTTTTTTTTACATACAAAATTTTAATTTTTTTAGATGTAAATGAATGCCAAAAACGGTGCAAAGCTCCAAATCAAACCTGCATCAATACAATTGGATCATTTGAGTGCCGTTGCAACATTTCTGGGTCTTTTTATAATGCAACATCAGATATATGTCAAGGTATTTCAATTTCGTTTTTTCACAGGGAAGCTCAGGTAAAAAATTAATTTTCTTAAGTTAAAAAAAACTTTTTCTATTGATTATATTAAAGCCATTTTGTCAAATTTTTAATTGATTTTTATAAATTACTTTGATATCATTGTTTAATTTTTCTAAACTAAAGTGGTAAATACAAGTGTGTGTTTCTTTTTAGAAATAGTAGTACTAGAAAAGATTTTTATGTCCAGAGATTAAAGAAAATTTTTTACTCTAATTAGGCTATAACTAAAGCTTAATTCTAAAATTACTTATATATATATATATATATATTTGTTTCCATTTATTTAAATTAATTAAAAAATAGCTATGTTTTAAACAGTTTTTAATGAAAAAAGAGGATTTTAAAAGTAGGGTTATTTAATGACAAAAGAGGATTTTAAAAGAGGATTTTAAAAGTTAAAATTTTTTTATCAATTTTTAATAATTTTTTTTTTTTAAATCAATTTTTATTAATTTTACTTTGAAATTTATATTTTTGATAAACTTAGTGTAAAAAGTGCAAAACATAAAATATATATTTAATAAACTTAAACATTTAAAAATAAAAGTATGCTTTCATGGTAAGTTAATTTATATCAATAAGAAAAACTTTTTTGCTTATTAAATTTTTTTTAACAGTTCTTCTGGAGATTATATTTACTTTTGTTTTTCAGCAAACTGTAAACAACTGTTGATGTAAACAACTGTTGATGTAAACAACTGTTAATGTAAACAACTGTTAATGTAAACAACTGTTGATGTAAACAACTGTTGATGTAAACAACTGTTAATGTAAACAACTGTTAATGTAAACAACTGTTAATGTAAACAACTGTTAATGTAAACAACTGTTAATGTAAACAACTGTTAATGTAAACAACTGTTAATGTAAACAACTGTTAATGTAAACAACTGTTAATGTAAACAACTGTTAATGTAAACAACTGTTAATGTAAACAACTGTTGAATAAAACAACAAATAATAAATCATTAACGCAGTATGTCTTGAATAAGAAAAAGACCTCTTTAAAAAGTAAAAAAAAAAAATTAAAATGTTCTTCAAATAACATCTTAAAATCATTCTGAGATGGAAAAAAGAACGACAAAGATCATACAAATTGTAGTAATATTTATTAAGAATAATTACTTTAATTGCAAATACTTCAAAATGAAGCAAGTTACTATAAAATTAAATAGGAAAAGTTACATAAAAAAATTGCCAAGCTGAAGTCTGACCTAACCATAACATCGACCAAGCTTAGTATTGATTTAATGAATAAAACAAACGATTTAATGAATAAAACAAACGAAGACTTTCGCTTCCGTCTTAAAAAATCATCCAAAGAAAGCCACCAAGTTATAAACATGGTGGCTGCCGATGCCAAGGACAGAAACGGACGTGCATCAAATGTCATCACCTTGACAAATCCGAAACTAAAATTGACATAACCCTCCTTACCGAATTCAATAATGCTTGTGGAGCGTCTATGGTTATTAATTCAGTTCGAAGACTAAATTCAAGACCTAAGAGTAGCGGGCCTGCCCCAAATTTATTAAAAGTTACCTTCGACAGTGAAGATGAACAAAATGAGGTACTTGAATTGTGCTATTGCCACTCAGTCGATGAGTTTAAAGGTGTTTTTGTTTGCGAAGACCTAACCCCGGCACAACAAACGGAATTCAAAGAGAAATGCAAAACGTTAAAAGCACATAACGATGAACTTAATGAAACAGGCCTCCTCGATAATCCTTTTCGTTATGTCGTTCACCGCCACACTAAACAAATTTGCTGTATCAACGTTGAATACTCATCAAACGAGAAACATTACATATTTTCATCACCAAAAGGAAAAACCATGCATAAAAAGTTATCGAATGATTGACCACTACAATCTTCTCCCATCATGAATACCACTGTCAGAACGTTAAATTGTGCATATTTTAATGCAATATCTCTGAACAATAAGCTAGAAAACCTACACAACCTTCTCCAATATGGCAACCATGATATCATCCTCATCACAGAGACTTGGCTAAACACCTCTACTCCAAACTCGTTGTTGTTAAATAAAAACGGCTACAAAGTTTTTCAACATGACCGTGACGGTAAAGGTGGTGGCTCACTTATATTGGTGCACAATGATATTCATTCAGTCCAAATTCGTCCGGAAATTCCCTACGATCTTCAAAACACTGAATTTACCTGTGTCGACGTAAGTGCTTCTTCAAACCACGTCAAGATAAGATTTTTGTGTATTTCCACCCACCTTGTGCTTCTTCTAAAATTGTTAAAACCAAATCCATGTGCAAGTTGATTTCCAATTTTTTGTTAACGTGTGATTCTGCATGTATAACAACCGGTGATTTTAATTTACCACGTATAGACTGGTCGATTCCTATCAGTTTTGGTGATGCGTGCCATGATTTTTTCGTAGAAACTTGTTTTGTAAATGCTCTCACCCAACTTGTAACTGACAATACTCGACTTAATAATTTGTTAGACCTCATCTTAACAAATAATAAAAAATTGTTTACAATGTGAAAACAGCTGCTCCATTCACCAGCACTTGCGACCATTCCACCATACTATTTAATTGTATTTGACGAATTCCAAAAATCATGAACAATCTAGTATTCACAATTTCTATAAAGCTGACTATATTTCGAATAATAACGACTTACTTAACGTAAACTGGTATATGTTGGCCAAACAAAACCCAGGCGTTGAATCATTCTGGCAAGCTATTTGTAAAGTCCTGAGTGTATCTATTGCTTCTCCCGTTCCTTCATTATGCAATAAAAAAAAGCTCGTTTAACCCCTTGCTATTTGTAAATTAGCGTCCAAAAAACGTACTCTGTACAGACTTTATAAAAGAACTCATAACCTTTCTTTTCTTATCAACTACAAGAATTGTTCACGTTTATACGATGCTGAAATCACAAAAAACTGTATTGCTCGAGAAAAATACATAGTAGACAACTCCAATTTAACCCAATTTTATTCTTATGTCAATTCAAAATTTAACTGTTTAAATTCTGTTGCACCACTTGTAAGACCCGACGGTTCTCTTTGTACTGATGACTGTGAAAAATCGAGCCTTCTGAACAATTTTTTTGCTTCAGTGTTTGTCTCTGACAACGGTACTAAACCTGAGCTAGACCTACCATCCCACGATAATTCTTTGGATAATGTCCTATTTTCTTATGATTCTGTTCTATCAGCTCTTCAAAAACTTCCACCAAAGTCATCAAAATCACCAGATGGGTATCCTGTTTTATTCCTGAAATCGATTGCTAATATTATTGCCATCCCGTTCTCTCTCCTTTTCGAGTTGTCAATGTTAACTGGTGTAATTCTGAATATTTGGAAAACCGCATATGTATGTCCAATTTTCAAGAAAGGTAACCCCTCCTTATCTACGAACTACAGACCTATTTCAATGACTTGTATTAGTTGCAAAGTTATGGAGTCAATTATTGATAATAGTTTAAAAAGGTACCTTCAACTTAATAACTTTATCTCTATTTACCAATTTGGCTTCTTAAAGCGTAGATCTACATGTACACAGATGTTAGCTTCTCTTAATGAATGGACCTCAGCTTTTAACAAGAAAAAAGGAAGTTGATATTATCTGTATTGACTTCGAAATAGCATTCGACTCTCTATCGCATTCTAAGTTAGTGTACAAACTGAATTGTTACAGCATTAAGTACGAATTTCTAAATAGGATTACCAATTTTTTAACTGATCGATCCTAATGTGTTTGCATTGGTAATTCTTACTCAAACTACGTACCTGTACAGAGTGGAATACCCCAAGGAACTGTGTTGGCTCCGACTTTATTCTTATTATTTATTAATGTAGTTTCTTGTATTGAAGGTGATTGTTGAATAAAGCTGATTGCTGGCAATAGCAAATTGTACCAAACAAGAGATGAAAATAACAATGCTGACTTTAAAATATCATCAAAAAAGTTCTCTGATTGGACAGCTTACTGACAACAAAAAATAGCATTCAAAAAATGTTTCAAAAAATGTTTCCACTTATGTTTTGGAAGTAAGTCTTTGATTCTTCATTCGTATTCGTTTTGCCTGGACACCCCGATAACGACTGTTAACTGTATTGAAGATAATGATGATATGTTATCTTCTGACACAAAATTTTCCAAACACTGTTCTCGTATTGCCAAAAAAGCTTACGCCCGTCTATATTTACTTTTCAAAACCTTTATCAGTAATGATTCAAGTCTCCTCTTAAAAGCCTACAAGGTCTATGTGTGTCCAATCTTAGAATCTTGCACCCCAGTGTCAAGTTTTTACCTTCTTAAAGATATACGTAGCATTGAAAACGTCCAAAGATACTTCAGCAGAATTACCTATAAAAGATGCCATATTTCTTACACTGATTACGCATCGAGACTATCTGTTTTAAAAATCGATTCTCTTGAACACTGCAAAGTTAAATTCAATCTTTTTATGACCTACAAAATTATAAACAATTTTGTCGACCTTCCCTTTTCCGATTTCTTTACATTTTCCAATTCTCATTACCCCACTAGAAGTCATGCAAAAAAATTAGTTTCACGCAATAAATGTACTAACGATACACGTAGATTTTTTTTCAGTGAAAGAATTGTAAAAATATGGAATTCATTGCCCAAGTTTAAACTTCCAAAGGAAGTCTAAACTTGAAATACATCTAGTCTCAATGAGAATAATAAAATAGAAGTTGTTCTTTTGCAGAAATGAAATGATACTGACAAAATTAACGGACTTGATTTTTTTATGAGTTTTTTTTAATAGGTCTTTTAATAAATTTTTAATAAATCTGAGTTTTATTAAAAATTATTAAAAATGAGTTTTCTTTAAATTTCTTTTTTTTTATTAATTTTTCTTTAAGGTTCTTTTGATATGTTTTGATAGTTTCTTTTGATAAGTTTTCTTCTTTTTGATTCTTCAAGATAATGGTTGGTATTTTATATGAAAAAGCTCTAAAAACATTCTCATACTTGTTAATACGATACCAAAAGACCTATTTTTGCCCTAGAGTTGCTTATGAAGCTAGTTAGTTGCTTATGAAGCTAGTTAGTTGCTTATGAAGCTAGTTAGTTGCTTATGTAGCTAGAAAAGAGTAGCAATAGTAATGTATCACTTATAAATGCAAAAATATATAGTTGCAATAACTTAAAATGTTATTGTAATCAAGTTTTAAATTAAAAATCTAAAAATTACTTTTTGATAAATTAAATATTTAATTGACCACTAAAAACTACTGTGATGCCACTACTGAGATGTCAAATTCTGTTTTTTTTTTTATATGAAAGGCTTTTGCCCTTTTTAATCCCATTTTTTCTGGTAATTTTTTTTTATTAAAATAATTTCCAGGCTAATATTCACAAAACTATAATTACACCATTACACCCAAATAACTTTAGGGTGTAATTATTGTTTTGTGGTCTCACTTAATTATGATACTGTTTTCTTTATATGGCTTTTTTAGATAGTTATCCCAAATAAAAAATATATAATATCCCATATAAATATTGTAGTAAGTCAAGTAATATTTTATTCAACTGTTTTTTTTAAATTTATGTAGATATGGATGAATGTAGTACTGGTAATACACCATGTGATCCTGTTAGAGGAATTTGTATCAATGAAAATGTCTTGCAAACTGGCAAAAGGTACACTTGTTCATGCCCCAGTGGTTGGAAATTATTAAATGATGGAAGTAATAGTTGTGTTGGTATGGTTACCATTTGTTTTTTTAATGTTTGAAGTGAAATTTTTCCACTATTTTATATTTTATTTTATTTTTATTACTTTTTATAACATTGTATTTATAAAAATATTTACTTCACAGATGTAAATGAATGTTTAACATTGTGCAATGGAACAAATGCCTCTTGCATGAACACTATTGGTTCTTTTAAATGTTCTTGTGATGTTGGTTTTTCATTAAACTCATCTTACCAGTGTGAACGTAAGTTATAAAAAAATTGTAAATTTACATGGCAACAATTTGAAACCTAATATTTTTACAACTAACTTTTGATTTAGGCAATGTCTGCGATGCATGTCCTACAAATTCTAACTGCTCAGTGAATAGTTTTGGGTATGTTGGTTGCACGTGTAATCTTGGTTATTCAATTAACTATATTTCACAATGTGAAGGTGAGTTAATATGTTTAATTTTTTTTCATTTTATGATATTTATTCCTATTATTATTTGTGATATATCATTGCCACAATCCAAGTGTGACCAGATTCGTTCAAGATTACTGTAATGAAAAAAGTGTAATTTTTGCAATAAAAAAAGATAATTCTGTTGATGTTCCGGAATCAAGACAAATTAAGGATTTTCGGTCAATTATTAAAAAATTAGTTTATAAAGGTCAATGACAGAGAGTATTAAACTGCTTTAGAGAAGATTAGACTTTTAAAAAAGTTGACCAAAGCTTTTTACAGGGCACAGTGGTTCAGGACCATGCCATAAATACAAAAAAAAAAAAAAAAAATTATAATAAAAACAATTAAAAAAATAAATTATATATGTGAAGTGAAAACCAGATTTTAATTTTAAGATCTGTAATTTTTAAAAAATTTGTCTAGGGAGGGTTTGAAGTTCAAAAATTTTAAAAATGCATAATTTTTCAGGCAAAAATTAGTCTACCAACTTTTATACATGCCATTCCTGCCAATGTCATAGATAAATAATTTTTTTTTTAATATTCTCATAAAATATGAAAAATCAATATAAAATAATTTAAAATGTACAATTTTATAAAAAAGGCACAATTAACCTTATGTTTAACACTTTTTTATTATAAATTATTAAAAAAAAAAAAACTTTGATCAACCAGGAAAATTTTTGCCCACGTTTGCCCACCTTAAAATTTTTTATGTTAAAAAATATGTTGTTTATAGAAAATTTTCGGCAAAGTTTTGGCTGCTTTTGTTTTCTATTTGTATCTATAGGGTCAGTCCAAACATGTTGTACTTAAACTAAAATGTGGTTCCCCCTCTTACTCCCAATATTTTTTAATGAGTTTCAACCGTGATAATGAATAGCGGAATATTCTAGTATAAAAGTGGACCAAAAAAAAAAAAATAAAACAATCAAAAAAGCAAAATAAAATAAACAAAATGATCGAAACAAATAATATCCAATAGTTATTTAGTGGTGCAACCAATTTTAAATATGAGGAATCTAGTTTCAAGACATTTTCGATTAATTAAAGGAAAGTATGAGAATAAATTTAATAAAAAAAGCAAAAAACGAAATTTGTATATTGGTTTCTCAATGTTATCCAAACTACAATCAGTTGAGATTAACCAAAAAATTTATGAAAAACTTTAAAAAGAAATGGAATGAGACAGGTAGACAAAAAGGAAGGTTTATAATTCGTTACAAAAAATTATTAAATATGGAATTTATTGTAAACAAACCTCAACACTGTTGAGGTTTGTTTTTTATCTTATATTGATGTTAGAATAAAAATTTTTATATTTTATCCTAACAGTCAGTTTATAAACAGAGAACTGAAAATGAAGAGGACAGATTGCTAGTTCCAGTTGAAGAATCTTTGTTTCTTTCATGTACAGTACCTGTGAAACTTACAATACAGGAAATTAATGTTATTCTTGGGACTAACCTCAAAACGTCCTCAACCTAATAGTCATCCTGTTCGAATGCAATAAATTAAACAAAATCAGGATATTGTTAAAGCAGAATATGATTTTTTTGTCATTTGAACTCAGAACAACAACCATAGACTTATTTCAAGTCAAGCACAAGTTACATGAATGTACTATGATTGATGGGAAAGTTTCCACTTTTCTTTCTCCATTAAGTGATTCTTATCAAGTTTGCAATATATATGAATTAAATTCTAAAAAAATGAATAATTTTGTAGTTGCTTACAATAGACAACCAAATCAGATGGTTTTGGACCTCGGAATTCACACTCTCCATCTCTGGATTCGTTGTTTTGAATGTCTGTTGAATATTGGACAGTGAAGAAGACCAGGATGCTATGATTCCTAATTTTTATGCAAACTCTCCTGAAAAGAAAAAAATAGTTGCAAGTAGATAAAAAAAAATTCAGGAAAAAATTAATGATACACTCAAACTTATTGTTAATGTACCAAAAAGTGGTGGCTCTGGTACATTCAATGATGGAAACACAGCAAGAAAGGCATTTAGAAGCCACGAAACTTTTGCTGAAATACTTGGAATTGATAAGGATCTTGTTAAAAGAATTTTCATTATTCTTTGTGTATTTTCCTGTAAGCACCCACTTGATCCAGATAAATTAGAAATATATTGCAAAGATACATTGCATTGCAAAGACATATGTGGCACATTTTATATGGTATCCTATGTTTGATGGAGTGCACTAGATGATTGTCCATTCACACCAGGTTGTAGAGACAAGTCAGTTCCAAATGGCCTCTTACCTGAAGAAGCCCAGGAAAGTAGAAACAAAGATGTTAAAAATTCTCGAAAACATTTTACTAGAAAATTTTCTAGAAAAATTACAAATGAAGATGTAATACGAATATTGCTCTGCTCATCAGACCCCTTTATTACTTCTATGAGGCAAAGGTCTGAATCAAGGAAGAAACTTGTTCTTCCAGCAGAATGTTAAGTCTTCTTTTGTAATTTTCTTAATACAATTATATTCTTTATTTTATTCTTAATTGTAGTGTTGATAATATGGGTAATAAATAAGTTTACTTTATTTAAAGAAATCTGTAAAAAGCTGCATGTTTACAATAGCACATTTATTTTTTATGTAGGGATGTCACACTTGTTTCATTGTTGTTTTTTAAAAACTCAAACCCTTTATAATTATGCATTTTTAAATAGCTAAGTTTATTAAAAAATAATAATAATAATAAAGAAATATTAATATATAAGACAAATTTTTTTATATAATCTTGGTGTAAAACCAATATTGTGCGTTCTTTTTAAGTAGTTGTATGTTCTTGTTGTGCTCCCATATGCATAGAATATTCATGTATAGGTAATTATAAAATATGTGTCCTTGATGATTTCATTTATTAATCGACCAGATAGTCAAACTGTTGAAATCAGTATTATGGAAATAAGTTTTAATACATAGATCTAAAAATAAATGTCAATGCAAAAAGCATGTCACATGTTATGTCATATGTCCTCGGTGTGTTAGTTTAGAGTTCGTTTATTCTACACATTAATATTTGTAATATTCGTAAATGTACCATAAATTATGGAAATTATAAAATTAGTTCAAATATTGTCATGTAACATGTGTCATTTGTTGTGTCTACTTTTTGTCCTTGATGTGCTACTCTACATGTTTATGTAATCTATCAAGATGTAATAAATGTGTAATTTGTCCTCCAGAGAATATTTAGTTAAAAGGTATTCCAAAAATAGTCCAGAGAATATTTAGTATAAAAGGTTTGCTGAATGCTTGTGTTGTGAATTTTATTGTTAATTTTGTGGTGACACAAAAATTGATATTTTGGGGTATATTCATTTAGATACATGGTTTCAAATGCTTTTAATATGTAATTAAAAAAAGCATTATATAAATCATTATCATTTCTTTTAAATATGATCCTTTTTTACTTCATTCTGCACCTGTTAAAATGAAAATGTTTCTTTTTCTTTTCTCGATTCTGCATTATGAAAATATTTTGATGAACTTTTGTTGCTGTTGTTGTCATAATGAAAAAACTAAAATTTCATTTATAATTTAAATAGTTTTTCGAAGTTTATTTAGGAAATTTTTTTTGTTAGTCAAATTTTTTTTGGAATAAATTTAAACATGAAACTACACTTTTTTTTTAATGCATTTTTATGCAATATGCAATATTTTTATGCAATATGCAATATTTTTTATGCATTTTTTATGCAATATGTAATATTTTTATGCAATATGCAATATTTTTCATGCATTTTTTATGCAATACACCAAAATAATTATTGAAAGATAATTCCTCATACACTTTCATCTTCCTATCAAGTAACACTTTAGCATTATTATTTACTGAGGTTTATCTTGAAGGACATTTTTCTTTTCATTGATTTACCGCAAATACGTCATCCAACACCTGTGTACAATTTTACAACTTACATGCGCTTTACAAACTGCACATTGAGATTGCACAAAATATCCTTCATAAGACTTATTTTTATTCAATATCAAATTATGGTAAGACTTTTATCTTGAACATTTCTTATTTTATTGTGTGTTTGTTTGTCTTGAATTCGTACATTAGTACTTAGGAATAATGTCACTTAAAAGTTTTTATCTCCTAATGTTACTTTATGTGCAACATGTTTTTTTAATTTTCTTAAAAGTATATCAGCGTACTTTGTTTAAAATGGAACAAGTAAGAGTATTTGGCTGAGCAGTAGTGTGTCCTTTCAAATGTTGCAACATAAGAAGGCTTTGATGCAGATGTAGAAGTGGGTTTTACTTGCTTGTTTTGAGGATGATTCCCCAATGGGGGTTTCTAGGAATCAGCATGAAAACATTTGAAATGTCATATACCAGAATATTGAATCGCTATAAGTGTCAATACTTTATCCATTTCCAGAAGAGAATCTGGTATTATACTGCATAATTTTCAATTTTGTTTTAACGCTGATATATTTTTATTCTTTTTCTTAAAGTAATTATGCGTGCGCTTCCCTTTTATAATATATGTTTGTTTTTGTTTTTTGTTGTAATACTTCTGCTTTATAATTGTACTTTATGTCTAATGAATTGAGTAATTTTGTTATACTATATTAATTGGTTTATCACATTATGCTTACCACAATGATGGCAATTGCTAATAATTGTTTTGATTTTTGTCACATGTTTTTGTATATTTATCTAAAAATTCTTATAGGTTGAATTGGATGTTTCCAATTTTTTTACCTGAAATTGAAGGGGTTCGGGTTGCATAGAAATAAGCAGACTTATTGTGTTTGTTGCTTTGAGAATATAAACTGAATGTAAAACGAATATTTCCATTATAAGGATGCATGTTTTTATAAAACAAATTCTCTAAAACAATCAACTCTACTAAACGGTATGAATTATAGTTGAATCTTTACTTGATTAAACAAAACTGTAATAAAGAAAAAATAAAAACAATTACTAATATATTCTATCACTTCTTTTCTCTCAGCTAAATATGTTCCACTAGTGACTATACTTACTTGTTCTAGTTGCGAGCCTTATATCTAAAGAGAACATGATAACATCAATATTATTTGAAGTTTCTTGGTTCATAGTTGACCTTAAAAAGCATTTTAAGTTTTGAAAAACATCTTCAACCAGAACAATTTGTAATAATAATAAAATTCCTAACATTCTCAAGATTTGGAAAAATTTCAATTTTTCCAAATTTTTTTCAAATTTTCAATTTTCAATTTTTTTCTTTGATCAACTTGTATGTAAATAAGTGTGTTGCAGCTAATTTCAAATACATTCATTTTTTCAAATTTGTGCCTGTAACATTAATAAAAACATCTTTAATTTTTCTTTTTTCATTTTTTAATCATTTTTTAAGATTGTATAGTTATTAAAGCATGGGTTTTCAAAAATTACGAATTTTCATAGTATAAATTTAATCCTTGATGTTAAATTTTTTTTTTGTGTTTTTTTTTTTTCATTTGTTTTCAATAAAAAATACTTTGATATTTAACTTTTTACTTTGATAATTTTTATTTTAAATTTTTTGAACTTTTGTATTTTGAGAATTTTTGTTAACTATTTGCTTGATATGTGAGCAAGCGTGTATTGTGGTTCAAAATTCATTTTAAAAAGTTCGAGACATATTATTGTAAGTGTCAGGTATTATCTTTTTCCTGATATTTTTGGAATTCTGGATATTTCTTTAAAATTTTTTTTTTCCCAGATATTTAAATAGTTTTCAGGAAATTCTTTTGTCGGAATACAAAATAAGGTATGGTGAGTTTCCTTGAATTTTGAATAGTTATATGACTATTTACAAAAATGCTGCAACTAAATTAATAGATAGTGATAGTGATAATTTTGAAGTAAAGCTTAGTGTGCATCAGGGTTTTGTGGTCCTTCTTTTTGTTTTGTTTTTGTTGTTATTTTCAAGATTTGTTTAAAAGTTTCAGTGATGTTTACCTAATAAAAAAAAATCAACAATCTACTTAAGCTGCTTGTTGGTGTTTATTTGTGGAGATAAAAGAAGAATTAATATTAGGAGTTTAGTGATGAAAGTTAAAGAGACATGATAAACATGAATAAAGAAAAGATGCGAAGAATGAATAAATAAAAAAACTGGAAAGTGGCTATACGGATTGTCTTTGAAAAGTATTATAGTATTATAAGTGTTATAAATCTAGTGACTCTATTTTTTGTATAGATTATAAGACATTGAGACATGAGAATATGTATACAACATGATAATAATATTTTTGGTTTTGAGTGTAGAAAATTTTTTTTTTTTTAAAAACAGAGTAAAATCTAAAACAAAGATTGAAATAAGTAGTGGTACATAGTGATGTATAATATAGTTTTATGAGGTGCATAGTGGTGTATAGAAATTCAAGGTTATCAGATGGATTTGTTGTGTTTAAAAGATTAGAAAAAAAATGGTAATCTCAGACAGATTTTGAATAGTGACTTTGTTTAGTAGAGTGCATCATGGAAAATTAAAATGGTTTAACCATGTTGAGTGTGATGCAGATGATTGTGTATCAGCATGTAGAGATTAAGAAGTTTAATTGTATTGATTGATCTTGAATGGCTGAAGTGAAATTAAATTAAGAGTAGTTATTATATTGTTTGAAATGAAATAACATTTTGTTTGGTTTTAAAAAAAGTGGATGAAATTGTTTGGTTTGAATTTTTTAAACCGAAATTTCGGGTACTCTCATTCGATGTCGAAATTTTGGCAAACATTTTACCCAAACCGATACCAACATTTCAGCTAGTCAAAATTAATTCATTTGAAAAATTTATTTAAAAGTGAAATTTTACATTTGTGGCATTTTTATACGTGTTACAATTGATTGTGTATCACAAATTGAGATTTAATACATAAGTTGGCGAAGTTAAAAGCGAAAGTGAATAACTTGCAGATTTTCTCTGCAAAATAAGGTATTTTTTTCAAAAATAACTGTTTTTCTAAATTAGATAAAAATCTAAAATCTTACAAATTTTTTGGGTTTCGGTATCTTTTTTAACTGAAATTTTGCTTTTTACCTAATTTATAAAAAGTAGCGAAACGGAAATTTCGTTTTTAGTTTGAATTAAAATTTCTACCAAAATTGATACTGAAACAAAATTTTGGTTAATCACTTGTAATTAAGCAATTATCTAGTTATCTTTTGAATTACCATTAGCAACAGCCAATTAAAAGGAAAAGGTTTGTACTTTAGAGCTTTATACATCGTGTTGCTTTTATTTTGAAATAAAAGTTTAAACCTCTCTACATTTATGCATGAAAATAGTTTAAAAAATTTCTAGAAATCATTGATATCAATGATAAATGTTTTATATATATAACAAACATTCTTTTTTCAGCCAATCAATGTCAAAGTAAAGCGATGAGTTGTTTGGCACCCCACCAAGTTTGTCAAAATGATAATAGTGGGCTTGGCTTTTCATGTGTTTGTTCAAATGGATATACAAAAGTTGGCAATGACTGCATAGGTGTTTATACAACTAATTACTTTGTTTAAAAAAATTTTTTTTTAGTATTTATTAAAATAAAATGCCTATAATAATTTTTTTTATATTGTTTTGTTAAATCATTTTTATTGATTTGTTTACACATTTTATAAATTTTTTCTGATTAATTGTTTAACAAAATTTTATTAGCAACTAATACTAGCATATGCAAATATGCCTCTTCGCAAAATATAACCCTATGCCCTTCTAATCAACAATGTGTTGATGTAAATGGAAGTTTTGAGTGTGGATGTCTGGCAGGTTATCTAAAGAATGCTTCTGGCCAGTGTGAAGGTATTTTTTTAAGTTATTAAACAAGTGAAATATTTTGATAGGCAATTGAATTATAACTTTTAAGTTTTAATTCTAATTGATTACAAATTTTTATCGAAATGTGGACTCTTTTTATTGGTACAATATTAATAACAAAATTTAGCCAACTTTGAAATAAATATTGTACCAATATTGCACCAATGTTGCTTGCTCCAAGGAAATTAAATCTCAACTCTTCTCTTTATTTTTTGTAGTCTGAACACTGTTTAATAATAATATCGTGGCATGACAATGACAATGCTACATAAAAATAATTTGCATTGTTAAATACCGTAACTCATTGTAAAGAGTAGATAATAAAATACAGCAAAAACATATGCTTAAAAGTATAATCTTTTTTGTACTAAAAAGCGGAAAATAAACTTTTTAATTTAAATTAAATAGTTTAGTAAACTAAAGATTTACAGTTTTAAAACAAATCTTGTGCAGATTTAGTTTAATGTTTTTAAAATTCTTTTTGATATGTAGTTTTCAGAATTTGAAATTCTGAAAACTACACAGTCATCACAAACTGTGATGCTTGTGTAGTATACAGAATTTTTAGGCATGTTATCATCTGTAAAACAGATGATAACATGTGTTTTTGCTTTTATTGTTATTCAATAGTTTTTTTGCCATTTTTTTAAATTGACTAACAATAATTATTTAGTTTAATTTAAGAACCAATTTCTCTGACTTTTTTTAATTGTTGACAAGTCTTTCATCTATCCAGGATGTTAAACGATCAAAATGTTTTTTATCATAAGTTGAATGACCAGATTAAAGTCATATTATAAGTACATATCATAAGTATTTTGTGCTTAATTAAATAACATAGTTATTTAATTAGCTAGAGAATAAATTTAAGTTAAAATTTTATAGTTACATTTTTGAAATATAAATAGCGTAATTTCTTCCAATCCAAAATGCTTTGACTTTAGCATTGACTGGCGCAGACTGGTGCAGATTGGCGCAGCCATAGTAAACTCCTTAAGATCATTAAAATATTTTGACTATTTTATGTCTGTCAAAAAATATATTCCCATTGTTGTTTTACAAAAAAAACCTATTCCTATATGGAGCACTTTTTAAGTACAAATTTTTCTGTGTATGACATTGTGTTGTATAAGTAGCCATTGCCAAGCGTTTTTTGTTAGAAACAAGTTGCTCTAATAAAATCTGAAAAATACAAATGATATTAAATTTTGGGGATTTAGTAAAAAGTTAAACATTTAATTAACCAGCAAAAACAAAATACTGTATATGTTTTTTTTTTTAGTTGCAGCAGTTTTTGAAAAAAGAGTAATAAAAGTATAATTTGATTTTTTCATTCTTTCGAAACTCTCCAGTGATATAAATTAAAATTTTTTATAAATTGTAATACAATGCCAATATTTTTTTATAAGGAATAACCATAAATATAAATATAATAAATACATAAATATTTTAAGAGAAAACCAAAACTCCTGCATAAATTAAATTGTTTCAAAAAATTTCTACAGTGCACGCGCACTTGCGTCTAATAAAACCAGATTTAATTGAGGAATATCAGGGATGCAAAAATGAAATAAAAAAGGAAAAAAATCAGTGAATAAATGAAACATTAAGGTTGAAAAAGCAATTTTAAATAACAATACATAAGCTATTATTTTAACACTAAAATGGTCAACAAACATATAATGCTCTAGCAAGTTTATTTAATTGAAAATGAAAGAATGTAACCTTGCTACCAATTGTAACCAATTTGAGACATAATGTAACTTAAAAATGTTGGAGTGGAGAAAAAAATAGGGTGGAGAACAAACAAAAATTGAAATGTTTTGTGTTAATATCTTAATAAATAATTAGTTTTAGTAGGTTTAATTAACATAAAACTCATTTTCTGTTTATTTATAAATAAACACAACTTGTCCCAGTGCTAAGGGATTTCTATGATCAGTATCAGTAAATGTTAAAATTTTGTTGTTTAACAATTCTAGTGAACTTATTGTAACAGGTAAATGTGCAAGTTTTTATTGCAATTTATTTTATGGTTACTGAGTTTGGTGTGTTTTGGTTAAGTGAAATTGCCTTTTGTTTAGACAAAAATGAATGTCTCATTGAGAATATCTGTATGGAAAATGCTGAATGTGTTAACTCAAATGGTGGATATGATTGCAGATGTAAGCCGGATTATAGTGGAAATAATGAAACAAGCCCTTCTACTAAAGTTTGCTATGGTAAGGCTGTCATTTTTTTTTTTTTTTTTTGTATGGAACATTAGAAAAATTTGTATTTTACACTTTAGCTAACAGCGCTTGGAGCTCATGGGAACAAGTTGGACAATGCAGCCAGCTGTGTCAAACAGACCAGAACATAGGAAAGTTATCGTTTACAAGAGTTTGTTTAAGTTCTGGTAAATACTGTTCAGGCGATGAAAAAAAAGAAGAATTTTGTAATACTGAATATTGTGATAACAGTATGTCTTTTTTTAATAATATGTGTTTACAGTAAAAATGGTTTACCAGATGATTTTTTTTTTTAATTACTACTTGAGTACAAGTTTAAATATAGGGAAATCGGTAGTTATAAAAGGGTGTTATACCAAGGTGTTTGCCAGCCCCCCAATAGGTTTAAAATTCTTAAATTCAATGACCTTTATTTTTTTTATTATCATTTATTTTTATTTTTTTTGAAGTAATAAGAATTTATATATAGTCAATTCTATTATATTTCAATATAATAGAATTGACTATTTCAAAAAAAATTCCCAATATCTTGTAAAAATAATAAAATAAACATTCCCAATATTTCAAAAATGCTGTGAAAAAGTTATTTCTGGCTAAAAAAATTTTAATTTTTTTTTTTTACTTTTTTACCTGCATAGGTAAAAAAGTAAAAAAAAAGTAAAAAATGTTTGTATAGAGGGTTGAAGTTTTTATAAGATATAAAAGCTCTTATTTATGGTTTTGTTCTTGTATAGAAATAAAAGTTTCCAAATCATTGGAATGCTTAAAATGGGAAAATGCAGAAGGTTCTATCAATTTACCTTTTAAAGAAGATAATCAAACATGGTTTTTGGAATTGCGAAAGTGGATTAGTTTCTATATCAAAGGTAAAACTATACATTATTAATATTAAAATTAGTTTTGTATAACTTTATAAATAAAGTTTATAAATATATTGTTGCAGCATCAAAGTGCTTCAGTATACCAAATATAAAGGCTTCAATTCAGTCAGAGCTTATAGAATTGGAGTTAGAAACTGCCAAATTAAAAACCGTTCGTTTAACTTTAAGACAAGTCATTCACTGCAACTCTTATTTACAAAAAATAAATGATTTGTATCAAAAGTACCGCTCCATTCAGTCCAGGTTGGTTACCTATACTACAATAAAAACTGCTTTTAAGAAGTTGCAAGCCAGATTAGCTTTAAAACAAAATGAATGCATTGATTGTAAGTCAATTTTTTTATTTTAAATTGCCTATTAGGGTGAGTCCAAAACCTCATTATTTTATACTAAAATATTCTTAAATAATAAATAAATCCTTTTAAGTTAAGGTTTGGATATGTATGTAGAACATTTGTTTTTTCATTCTTCTTGTTAATCTTTTTATAGGAAAAAGTGCCTGATATAATTAAAATGAATCAAATATATTAGTACTGTGCCAACTATATGTGTATTTGTGTATATGTATATATATATATATATATATATATATATATATATATATATATATATATATATATATATATATATATATATATATATATATATATATATATATATATATATATATATATATATATATATACATATATATATATATATATATATATATATATATATATATATATATATATATATATATATATATATATATATATATATATATATATATATATATATATATATATATATATATATATATATATATATATATATATATATATACATATACACAAATACACATATAGTTGGCACAGTGATTCCGTGAGAGTTGCGATTGGCATTTGATACTTTTTGAGCTACTAAAAATGAACCAAAAGTGGAAATGACCTAAAACTTTTTAGAAATGTGAAATATTATCATAAAATTATATGCAAAAGTTACAGCATTAAAGTCTTCAACTGTTTTTATTTTTATCATATTGATTAATTGGCATCAGCATAGCCATATAGCTTTTGACTTGATATACCAACTTTGCATATAGTAATTTTTCAAGAAATGATAAAATTAATTAAAGGGGCTATTAACTTTCAGCGTATGTTGCATAAAAAAAGCTAAAAAAATTTTATTAAAACTAAATGTTATTTTTTTAAAAAAAATCTCATTCACTCCTAGCAAAGCTCCAAGCAATTACTGTTAAGCTGAGAGTTACTAGAAAATAATAAAAAAAGTTAAAGAACGAGGAAAAGAGTTGTAGGTTTTATTAATCAGGAAAACATTAAGATAGGAGAAAGTTTGAAAGGTTAGTTTGAAAAGGTTAAAGTAAGGAGAAGGTTAGTTTGAAAGGAGAAGGTTAGTTTGAAAAGGTTAAAGTAAGGAGAAAAAAACTAGACAAATAAAAGTTAATAAAAGTTAAGAGCATGCAGTGACAGATACAGTAAAAGAATAAGAATATGCTGAATAACAAGTCTAGTTAGAATGAGTTTTTGTTGATGGAACTAGAGATGATAGCTCCTTTGAGCAGCGACTATGATAGTATTTGTAGAAACAAGAAAGAGATGCTACTTTACGACAATAGGAAATTGCTCAAACTTAACAGATTAAGTGGATTTACATTGTACATTTATAATGCTTTTTTGGACTTTGTCCAGAAGTGAAAAAACATTGATAGAAGAACCGTTAATATAGGAATATCCTATATTAATGAATATTCATTAATATAGGATATTCCTATATTAATGAATGGCATTCATTAATATTGACAGTACTGCAATATTTGTTTGCTGTAAATAACTGAGTTTTGTTGCAGTTAAAATTTACAACCCACTGTGAGCTCCGATCTGTTACAGAAGTGAGATCAGATTCAAGATTGGCTGCCTGTTCTAAGCAATCGAAAAGAGAAGACTTTTTGTCATACAGGAAGATAAAATTGAGTCATCAACAAAAAGTACTACTTTAGATGTAAGGTTGTTGGGAAGAGCATTAATGTAGATAAGAAACAAAACAGGACCAAAAATAAGTAAGTGATCTGGCCGGGTTATAGCCGGGGCCGGGTTTGTGATCGAGGCTGCATAAATATTTATACACCCTGAAGTATTTTTTTTAGTTCTAAATTCATGTTATATTTTGTAAATATATGCATGTATAAACATCATTATGATCAACATGATCATCATAATCATCATTAACATAATGATCATTATGATCTTTATCATTATAATTGTCATCATCATCATCATCATCATCATCATCATCATCATCATCATCATCATCATCATCATCATCATCATCATTTAGCTTTTGCCTTCCTCTTTTATGCTAATATTTTTTTCTCTAATATAAACAATCAATAGCATTTTCTTTCCTTAATAAAAGCTCACTCATACAATATGTAAGGCACTCTCTTCAAGTTTTCTTACTTCTACCACTACCAAATGTCCTTTTATTATTGCAAGAAGTTGATATAAAAAGGTCTTGTGTTTAAGCTCTGTTATTTTCAGTTAACTAAATCTTGTATCTTATTTCAGATGTTTGGTTCTGGAGACCTTTAGAATGTCTTTGACAGTGTTATTAAGTAAAATAGAGTTTAGAATAGGATTATTTGGAAAGAATTTTCCCTCTAACTTGACTACTGAATCTAAAGGCCATAATTCTTCTTTCCTGTCAATACCAGTTAAACAGGTTAACCCATTGTTAAACATCTAAATCATTCTGGCTTTCAATATTAAAGTGAATTCTCAATTAAACGCTTTAAAACAGTTTGTGCTTCAGACAAAATTTTCAGCATAGTCTTAAAAAAGTGTTCTCCAGAACTCTCTTCAATTTTTGCTAAATTATTAAAATGTGCTAAATTAGTGGTTCCAATTTTTAAAAATTCTAGAAAACAATTTGACCTCTCCAACTATCCTACCATTAGTCTTCACTCTGTAATTAATTTCTTTATATAACATTTTTGAGATAATTAAGTAATTTCTTTCTAACTGCAGTATTAAAGGTATTCTTGAAGGCCTACACTCTTCTTCATTTCGAGTAACTTCAAGGGTACCACAAGGTTCTATCTTTGTTTCTGTATTGTTTCTTATTTCCAATTATGATCTTTATGAAAATTTTACAACTAAAATAGCTCTATTTGCTGGCGACTCAACTTTATACTCTTGTCTTGATAAAAATATTTTCACTTTTTGATTGTTTAAAACAAGCAGACGAACACTAAAGCACATTGTACATGTGATTTTTTATTGAAATGTAATTAGACCTGCTTTATTTGCCAAGTTTGAGCTATACTCCCAATAATGCAAGGTTGCATTTCTTTCTTTTTCTGCAAATACTCTTATGGTCAATGCTCAAACAAGCTATCATCTCTATTATGATAAACCAAAACTTATTCTTGCTTGGCTTCTTATTCAACAGTTGGCATCCTTTTACTGTATTTATTCTTTCATGCTATAAAAACTTTTATCGATCCAGTTTTTTTCCTTGCACATCAAAAAAACCGTATAACTCTTAACCATCTTCATGTTTTTCTTTTTTTGTACAACCTGCACTTTTTCAAGTCTTCAGTTAACCCTTTCCTAGCTTTTCAACTCTATCCTCTATTTTAAAGTAACTCATAACTTAATAGTGGTTGCTTGCTACCTTGTTGAAAGTAAATTAGATTTTCAAAATATATAAATATATGCCAGTATTTAATAAATAGTAAATGTAAGTATAAAATTATAATCATTAAGTTTTCTAAATTTTTTTCTAGCCCTGGCTATCAACCCCTGCTAAATCTTATAATTTTGGCTGGGTTTGCAAAATGTTTTAATCAGGGTTAGGGCCAGGCCCCGGTCACTTACTACCAAGGATAGAACCTTGAGGTACCCCAGAAGTTACTGGAAAAAGTGTTGGCCTTGGAAGATGATTTTAATAAAGAGGTTAGCAAGAAACAATTTGATAATCTCGAAAACTTTCCCAGATACGTCATATAAAACAACCTTATGGAGAAGACCAGCATTCCAAACTTTGTCAAAAACCTCAGTTATGTCAAGAGCAATTGCCCTAGCCTCTCCATCTAATTTATTGTCTGGCAATAAGTTATTTGACTCAAGATGGGATGTGAGAAATTTGTTTATTAAAGACTCAAAGACCTTGCTGATAAGTTAAAGGAGACTAATCGGAAAACAATTAGAGAGATCAGAATGTTCACCAAAGTTTTTGAAAATTGGAGCAACAGATGCCATTTTCCAGCAGGCAGGAAAACAAAACTCATTTAAAAAGTTTAGAGAGAATAGAAGAGAGTTTTGGAGAACAATTTTATACCATGACATGTATGTTGTCTGGACCACAAGCCTTAGAAGAGTTTATTAGAGATTTAAGCAACAGAAGCTGGAGTGATTTGACTTAAGCAACAGAAGCTGGAGTGATTTGAATGTCTATCAATGGGTTAACCTTTTTAATTGGAATGGGAGGAAGAGAGTGGCCAAAGAAGAGAATGTCCAAGATTGGAGAGTCGAATTAGAAAAAATGAGAGATGGAATGTCATTCCTATGAATGAGAGATAGAATGTCATTCCCATGAATGAGAGATGGATTGTAATTCCCTTGAATGAGAGATAGAATGTCATTCCCATGAATGAGAGATGGATTGTAATTCCCTTGAATGAGAGATAGAATGTCATTCCCATGAATGAGAGATAGAATGTCATTCCCATGAATGAGAGATAGAATGTCATTCCCATGAATGAGATCTTTGTTACTGTTAAAGATTTTCCAAAAGTCTCTAGAGCCTAAATTTTAAGATAAAAACAAGATTTAGTAAATTGAGAATAATGGAGCTTTGCATTACACAGCACTTTTTTACATTGATTTCTTGCAATAATAAAAAGGTATTTATTCTCAAGAGTTCTTTTGAAAAAGATGGCAAAAATTTCGATTAGATATACAAAATTACGATTAGATAAAGCAGCTGCACAAAAAAGTAAACACCATACCTGAATTCAGGAGGTTATGTAGAAAGCATTTATCATTTATCATTTATCAGCCGTGAAAGAAACAACAATATCCCAAAATTCTAGTCAGCTTTAGGGTTGTGGTAATTAGTGCTATGAATTAGTGAGTTCAGAAAAAAAAAATAGGAGATAAAAGATTTATAGAGAATATTTATAGAGAGAATGCATGGTCAGAACCACCTAAGAGAGGAAAGGTGCAACTGAATACAAGCTAGGGTTGAAAACAAGTTAAAAATCAAAGAGTAAAGGTAAGTAATTAGGGTTGTTTGGAAAAGGAGTCAAAAGGTTAACTATCTT